GCTTTCCCCCCCCCTTCCAGCCGGACGTTTCCTCCCCCCCTTCCAGTCCGGACTCTTCCCCCCCCCCTTCCAGCCCCGACGTTTTCCACCCCCCCTTCCAGTCCGACGTTTCCCCCCCTTCAATCCGGACCTTTTTCCCCCCCTTTCCCCCAAAGCCCGGGACTCTTCCCCCCCCTTCCTGTCCGGACGCTTTCCATAGGCATATTCACCCCCTATCCCAGTCCGGACGCTTTCCTCCCCCATCCCAGTCCGGACGCTTTCTTCCCCCTTCCATTCGGAACCGCTTTCCCCCCCTCTTCCAGTCCGGAACCGCTTTCCCCCCCCTTCCAGTCCGGACGCTTTCCCCCCAGATTCCAGTCCCGGACGGGCTTTCCCCCCCCCTTCCAGTCCGGACGTCTTTTTCCCCCCCCCTTTCATCTCGGACGCTTTCCCCGCCACCCTCCATCCAGTCCAGACGCTTCCTCCCCCCCTTCCAGTCCCGGGACGCTTCCCCCCCCCCCTCTCCAGTCCGGACGCTTTCAACCCCCCTCTTCCAGTCCGGAACTTTTTCCCCCCCTTCAAGTCCCCGGACGTTTTCCCCCCCTTCAAGTCCCGGACTCTTCCCCCCCCTTCCCTGTCCCGACGCCTTTCCACACCCCCCTTCCAGTCCGGACAGCTTTCATTCACCCCCTACCAGTCCGGGACGCTCTCTCTCCCGGGCTCATCCAGGCGTCCGGACGCTTTCTCCCCCTTCCAGTCCGGACGCTTCCTACTTCTCTCTTCCCCCTTCCAGTCCGGACCGCTTTCGCCCCTCATCCAGTCCGGGGGGGGGGTGGGGGGGGGGACCGGACCTTTCCCCCCCCTCCTTCCCGGTCCGACCGCTTTCCCCCCTTCATTCCAGTTCCGGACGCTTTCCACCACCCCTTCCAGTCCGGACCGATTCCCCCACCCCCCTTTCAAGTTCCGGACGATTTCCAACCCCCCTTCCAGTCCGGACAGATTTTCCCCCCCTTCAAGTCCCTGGGGGAGGGGGGGGGGGTGGGGGGGGGGAGGGGGGGGGGGGGGGTGGGTGTGGGGGGGGTGTGGGGGGGGGGGGGGGGGGGGGCGGACGTTTCCCCCCCTTCTCAGTCCCGACTCTTTCTTCCTCCCCCCCCCCCCACCTTTCTGTCCGGACACTTTCAACCCCCTACCCCAGTCCGACACGCTTTCACACCCCCTTCCATTCCCGGACGCTTGTCACACTAACCCACTTTCCAGTCCCGTAACGCATTTCCCCCCAGGTTCCAGTCCGTACGCTTTCCTTCACCCCCAGTGTTCCATTCCGGACTCTTTCCCCTTCCCCCCAGTACCAGTCCGGACACGACTTTCCCCCCAGTTGTCCAGTCCGAAGACGCCTTTCCCATCCCCCCAGTTTCCAGTCCCGTACGCTTTCCCCCCCCCCTTGCCATTCTGGACTCTTTCTCGATTTCCCCCCCCCTTACCAGTCCCGAGACGCTCCCGTCTCCCCCTCTTCCTTCCAGTCCAGAACGCTTTTCACCCCCCTTACCAGGTCTCGGAACGTTTTTCCCTCCCCCCTTCAAGTCCGGAACGTTTTCCCCCCCTTCAAGTCCGGACGTTTTCCCCCACTTCAAGTCCGGACTCTTCCCCACCCCTTTCCCTGACCGTACGCTTTCACAACACCCCCTTCCAAGTCCCGAACTCTTTCATCCCCTTCCAGTCCGGACTCCGCTTTCCAACCCCCCTTCCCAGTCCGGACGCGTTCCACACCCCTTCCAGTCCGGACCGCTTTCACCCCCTTCCAGTCCGAGACGCTTTCCCCTTTCCCCCCCCTTCCAGTCCGGAACGCTTTCCCCCCCCATTCCAGTCCGGACGAAGGCTTGACCCTTCCACTACCCCCTTCCAGTCCGGACCGCTTTCCCCCCCACGTTCCAGTCCCGTACGGCGTTTTTCCCGCCCCCTATCCATTCCGTACGGGGGGCGCTTTCCCCTGTTCCCCCCCCTTCCCGTCTCGGACGCTCTTTCACAGCACCCTTCCCATTCCCGGAACGTCTTTCCACCCTCCTTCCATTCCGGACGCTTTCCCGCCCCTTCCAGTTTGCCCGGACGCTTTCCCTCCCCTTCCAGACCGGACTGCTTTCCCCCCGCCCTTCCAGTCCCAGACGCTTCCCCCCGCCCTCTCCAGTCCGGACGCTTTCCCCCCCCCGTTCCAGTCCGGACGCTTTCCCCCCCCAGTTCCAGTCCGGACGCTTTCCCCCCCCGCTTCCAGTCCGGACGCTTTCTCTCCCCCCCCCCCCAATGAATTTCCCCACCCCCCTTCCAGTCCGGACGCTTTCCCCCCCCCTTCCAGTCCGACGCTTTCCCCCCCCCTTCCAGTCCGGACACATTTCCCCCCCGCCCTTCCAGTCCCGACTCTTTCCCCCCCCCCTTCCAGTCCGGACGCTTTCCCCCCCCCCCCCTTCCAGTCCGGACGCTTTTCCCCCCCCCTTCCAGTCCGGACGCTTTCCCCATCCCCCCCCCCCCTGCCAGTCCGGACACTTTCCCCCCCCCCTTTCCAGTCCGGACACTTTCCCCCCCCCCCTTCCATCCACACCTCCCCCCCCCCTCCATCCGACACTTCCCCCCCCCAAATGAAAAAGTCCAAACATTTTGAAAAAAAAAAATTGCTTTTGCAAATAAATAATCTTTCTTCATATATCTTGGCCAAAATGTATTCAGTTACGTTTTTAGTAAAAAAAAAAATAACCCAATTTAGTTTATAACCAAAAATTATAATTTTTCAAAAAAATTTGACATTTTTTTTTTATGTATTTATATTATTATATAGGTTTTTTTTTTTTTTACATACTGTCACCCTAGCAGTACAGTGTCACCATAGTGGTGACACTGTACTACTTGTTTTTGTAGCTGCTGACTTTTATTTTTTTACAGTGTGAGTGGAACTTCACTTTAAAGTGGTTGACATGCAACTAGCCTCAGATGATACACAGAGATTAAACAAATCATCCCACATAAGTTGTACCTGTTTATCTGCTGACTTCTCTTCATCTGCTTAAAGTGAAGAATTTATGCAATATTTCTGAGCCTCAGAAGGCAGAGGACAGGGATCTGATATCACACACTGCACAGCACAATGCTGTAATCTGAGACCTGAGTGGAGGGGATGGACAAACCCATCTGCACCCCCTTCTCTGTCTCATAGGAAAGATGCTCAGCTTGGGCTGTCAATCACTCACTGTGTACTATGGGGGAAGGCAAGGCCCTCCTCTGGGTTTGTCTGGCATCACCATAGACTGTCAGAAGTGACTCATGCAGAGAAAGGAGAGAGAGAAAGACAGAAATCACACTAGGTGCTTTGGATTGAGGCAAGTGCACACTATAGAAGGCTATGCTCTGTTCATTTTTCATTTCAGAGGTTTACAACCACATCAAACTGCAACTGGGTCTATTTTTTTGTTTGTTTCATACTCTCTAGTGGAGATTCAGCCTAACTTTTACCAATACTTACTATATGAATCACTTCTTCTCGTCTTGTTTTACAGACCTGATGAAGAGGTATTTTTGGCCCCTGAAACACACTGGCAGTTTTTTTTTGCCTTTCTGCTGTTACGTGTGAAAATAAGGCACCATTCGCACAGGGCGACGTGCTCCTTGCCCCTTACAGGGCTGCCTTTTACTGAAATGGGGATGCACAGGTGTTGTGTGCATCCCCGCTGCACGGACACGGCTGCTGTGTCCCCATATGACATGTGGGTGTGGGTCCCTGAATGCACACAGGGTGAGTTTGGGGACCCGCATGCACAGGCAACTAATATAGGGACACAGCGGCTGTGTCCATGCACCTGTATGTCCCAACAGAAAAAATGGGACGTGGGCACGGGGATGCACACAGCACCCGTGCATCTCTGTGCTGGTAAAAGATGGCCATGTACAGTCATGAAACAAGTCACCCCATGTGAACGGGGCCTGACACTAAAGGGCTCTTGAAAAGATTGTTTGACGCTCTTTTTATTTTTTTGACATCTTACTTTGGGTGAATTTTTTTTTTATCAAGGAAAGGGGTTACAGGTATAACATTTATCAAAAACAGAGTGGAAATGCAGGTTAAACTGCAAGCACGCTATAGTGCATGCCAGCTCAATTACAGCATCCAGCACCCACAAAGCTGCACAAACCTACCTACCTGATTTAACCCTAAAGGGACGTGGATATAGATGCACTTGCTTTTCATTGGGATCTTCAGCTTGGCCGGTAACTTGGCAAAGGAAGAGGAAAAGACAAAAGGGAGTTTCAAGATCAAACAGATAAGGTCTTCTTTCCCACCCTTATTACCCAATATAACATTTAACTGTGCTGTCCCGTTTTTATGTTTTAAGGTCAGAAGGAAGCTTTGAAGAACACATCTGAGAATATAAACAGCATACTGTGAGCCTGAGCTCTGTAGCCCTTCCAAGTAAGTGGGAAATTCTCCGGGAGGTGGTATCAGATAATAGTATTTATCTTTAACCCCTCGCCTACAGGACACTTATACCCCCTTCCTGCCTACAGGACACTTCTACCCCCTTCCTGCCTACAGGGCACTTATACCCCCTTCCTGCCTACCGGGCACTTATACCCCCTTCCTGCTACCCCCCCCTTCCTGCCTACAGGGCACTTGTACCCCCTATACCGGGCACCCCCCTTCCTGCCTACAGGGCACTTATACCCCCTTCCTGCCCACAGGGCACTTCTACCCCCTTCCTGCCCACAGGGCACTTCTACCCCCTTCCTGCCTACAGGGCACTTCCCCCTACCCCTACAGGGCACTTCCCCTTCCTGCCTACAGGGCACTTCTACCCCCTTCCTGCCTACAGGCACTTCTACCCCCTTCCTGCCTACCGGGCACTTCTACCCCCTTCCTGCCTACCGGGCACTTCTACCCCCTTCCTGCCCACAGGGCACTTCTACCCCCTTCCTGCCCACAGGGCACTTCTACCCCCTTCCTGCCTACAGGCACTTCTACCCCCTTCCCGCCTACCGGGCACTTATACCCCCTGCCTGCCTACAGGGCACTTCTACCCCCTGCCTGCCTACCGGGCACTTCTACCCCCTTCCTGCCTACCGGGCACTTCTACCCCCTTCCTGCCTACAGGACACTTCTACCCCCTTCCTGCCTACCGGGCACTTCTACCCCCTTCCTGCCCACCGGGCACTTCTACCCCCTTCCTGCCCACAGGGCACTTCTACCCCCTTCCTGCCCAGGCCAATTTTCAGCTTTCAGCGCTGTAGCACTTTGAATGACAATTGCACGGTCATGCAACACTGTACCCATATGAAATTTTTATCATTTTTTTGAGACAGATAGAGCTTTCTTTTAGTGGTATTTAATCACCTCTGGGTTTTTTATTTTTTGCTAAACAAACTAAAAACCACTGAAAATTTTGAAAAAAAAAAAAATTTCTTATTTTTTGTTATAAAATTTTGTAAATAAGTGATTTTTTTTCCTTCACTGATGTGCGCTAATGAGACTGCAGTGATGGGCACTGATAGGCTGCACTGATGGACACTGATAGGTGGCACTGGTGAGGAGGCACTGGTAGGTGGCACTGATGGGCATTGACAGGCATCACTGATGGGCATTGAAAGGCAGTACTCATATATGGCACCGATAGGTGGCACTGATAGGCGGCACTGACTGGCACTGATTGGCAGCACTGATAGGCGGCACTGACTGGCATTGATAGGTGGCACTGGCTGGCACTGATAGGCAACAATGAAAGGCAGTTCAGATGGGCACTGATATGTGGCATTGATTTGCACTGGTAGGCACTGATATGTGGCAATGATGGGCACAGGCAGGTGGCAATGATGAGCATTGACAGCTGGCACTGCTGGGGCTACAGTGATCATCAATGCCCTGATGATCAGTGCCCATGTCCCCTATGAGGAATGCTGATTACCGGCTCTCCTCTCCTCTGTCAGCGTGACAGCTTGTGAGGAGAGAAATGCTGATCTCCTAGATTGTAAGCTTGAAAGAGTAGGGCCCTCTAACCCCTCGTGTGCGATTTGTTGTTGCTGTACTGTTTCATGTATTGTCCCCCCCCTCTATTGTACAGCGCTGAGCAAACACTTTGGGCTATATAAACTCCATGTAATAATAATAATAACCAGCATTTCCCTATTTACATGTGATCAGCTGTGATTGGACACAGCTGATCACATGACCGAGCTGACATCTTTGGCTCTTTCCATTGATCGGTGATCCGCTGTATCCTAGGGACACAGTGGACCACCGATCGCCGTGCTGTGCACTCCCGGAGCAAGAGAACGAGAGAACCGCCTCGCGCCCATCATTACCTTATATGGCGGGTGGGAGGCGGTTTAAAGCACATTTGTTATAGTGTGATGTATAATGATGTAATATAATAATGTATTTGTTATAATGTAAGCTGTGCTTTTAATTAAAGCAGACCTTTCATTCAGGGGTATTAAAATACATTAGCATTTATTTACATGAAAAATATAAACAAACAACATTTATTTGCAAGTAATACAATATATACAAAAAAAAAATCCCTGTATCCTACTTCTATGATTTTCTTCATCATATTGCTCCAGTGTTTGGAGCCATCTTGTGAGACAATTAGTTCAGAGTACGGGCCATGCATGTTGCAAAGCCACGACCCTTGGCCAAGGGTTCGAGGAACATGGCACCACATAGCAGGGCAGCAACGATTACAGTACCACGACAATAAGACCATTTTTAGAAGTTGCGCTTACTTTCAGACTTGGCAGCAGAGTCCTCGCTGAACCAAGCAGCCTCTGGATCCAGTTTTTGGATATAATCAGATGCTCCCTGGTCTTGCGGTGTGGGTCTAGATGACCCCCCATTGCTGCACTGAGGGATCTCTAAGGGTCCTTTCTTGCTAGCACTGCTTCCGGTCAAATCATCACATAGCTTGGTGAACATTCTCTTGTGATGAACCCGGACAAACCTGTGAAATGCTAAACAGAGGAAAAACAAAACATAAAGAAAGCCAAAGTTAGTATTGCTAACATAACCATTCAGTAGCTCAGCACCCCATTCCAGCAGTGACAGGGGCTCTGGGAGGGGAATTGACTGCTAAGAGCAGAACAACTTGATCATCATAGTTTACAGAAGAAGTACTAAATTGCACCACAGTGTCTGCAGCTTAAGAGGTTAGTGAGGCCTTGTTTTAAAGCAGAGCTCCACCCAAAAGGGGAAGTTCCGCTTTAAGGACTGCTCCCCCCGCTCCCCATTAAGGATTGTCACCTTTGGGGAGCGGGTACCCGAAGTTGACAGGTACCCACTCCCACTTTCAGTCTGATCGGAAGCGGAAGGTGTCCTCCCTCCCTGTAGTCTTTTGGGACACGTGACGGGTCCCAGAAGACTACAGGACCATTCATGAAGCGCAGCGCTACTCGCGCATGCACAGTGGGTACCCGGCTGTGAAGCCGCAAGCTATCACAGCCGGGTGCCCACACTGAAGATGCCGGCCTCCTGGAATACAGGACGGCCAGTGAAATGGGCTGCGGGGGACACACTGCGGGACCAAGGGACAGGTAAGTGGCTGTTTTTTAAAAGTCAGCAGCTACAGTTTTTGTAGCTGCTGACTTATTTTTTGATAGGTCGAGTGGAACTCCGCTTTAAAGTGGTTTTAAACCCTTACCTATACCCAATGAAGTGAATAGCCTCTGGCGATACACAGATGAAACAAATCCTCCTACATACGTTGTACCTGTTTATCTGCAGTCTTCTCTACATCTATTCCAAGTGGAGAATTTATAAGCTTGTTTGAGAGTTCAGAAAAAAGGGGACGGAGAGCTGAAATGACAATGCAGAGCTCAGCGAGAAGAGCTCCAAGAGCTGATTGGAGGAAAGAGACACACCCCTCCACACAGCTCACAGGAACAGAGCTGAGGCTGTCAATCTTCTGGAGGCCCCTCCCCTGTCACCTGTTTTCTCTTAGTGTCAGGAAAACTTGTCAGAAGTTATTCATGCTGATAGCAGAGGAACGAGGTAGCAAAGAGAAATAACAGTGCTCTTAACTGAGACAAGTACACACTATAGAGGGATATGCTTCGCTCATATTTCATGTCTGAGGTTTACAACCATTTTAAAGATCATTTAGTATTTGATAGGAATATGCCAGTTTATAGAATAGACTGCAACCTCTCACCTTTCAGCAGAGCGTAGTGCTCTGGTTTCTCTGTGAGCAAAGCTGCAATCTCGCACACCATTAAGTCATAGTTGTCCGTCTTCTTGTAGGAGGTGAGGGCTGCAGAAAAGCGTTTATAATTTTCGTCTCCCAATGACTCTTTCACCTGCTTCAGGTAAGTCGATATCTGCTCTTGCTGGTCTTTCTTAGGAGGGACAGAGCTGTAGTTGCTGGCAGGAGCTGTAGAAAACAATGTAAATTCTTATCTTTAAAGTGGAACTCCAATGAAAACCACTAGAGAGGTAAATGATCAGACGGAACAGCCACAAAGCGAAAAACATGGCTTCCTGTTGCAGATCTGCAGCTTAACATTTTACTTGCCTGCTCACTGGACAATGATAGAGTATCATCACGCTGATTGCGGGTGAGTGCTGCAAACAAATCTGACAAGTCAGATCAAGCCTACATCACAGGTATACTAATCACAACTTGCTGTATCAAGAGAAGCCAACGCGTTTCGGGGGAAATGCCTCCCTCCTTCATACGGGCATGTGTAGTGGACATAATGGGATTACCATTATGTCCACTGCGCATGCCCGTAGGAAGGAGGGAGGCATTTCCCCCGAAACGCGTTGGCTTCTCTTGATACTCTTTGTCAAATAAAAATTTGGACTGAAACTCAAGAGGTTCAATTAACTTTTAGGCTTCAGGCATGCTTGAGCTCAAAAATGCTGTTTAAAAAAGCCCCCCCCTCCATGAAGCCTAATAGTTCAGAGCTACCTTGCACACACACCCCAGTCCTGATATCTGTCTGAACATCTCCCAGTGCCTGAAACATGCTAAATCAGCAGCACTGTGCAGTGGATCCTGTCTGGCTCACAGCAATAACCAACTCAGCTGCAGATTTCTGGGAAGACCGTACAATGACAAAATTCAGGAAACTATACTATATCTATATACTGTGTGCGTATGTATGTATGTATGTATATATATAGTTTATTTATTTCAGGTACTTATATAGCGCCATCAATTTACACAGCACTTTACATATATATTGTACAATCACATCAGTCCCTAACCCTCAAGGGGTGTACAATCTAAGGTCCCTAACCCTCAAGGGGCGTATAATCTAAGGTCCCTAACCCTCAAGGGGTGTACAATCTAAGGTCCCCAACCCTCAAGGGGCGTACAATCTAAGGTCCCTAACCCTCAAGGGGCGTACAATCTAAGGTCCCTAACCCTCAAGGGGCGTACAATCTAAGGTCCCTAACCCTCAAGGGGAGTACAATCTAAGGTCCCTAACCCTCAAGGGGAGTACAATCTAAGGTCCCTAACCCTCAAGGGGGGTACAATCTAAGGTCCCTAACCCTCAAGGGGCGTACAATCTAAGGTCCCTAACCCTCAAGGGGCGTACAATCTAAGGTCCCTAACCCTCAAGGGGCATACAATCTAAGGTCCCCAACCCTCAAGGGGTGTACAATCTAAGGTCCCTAACCCTCAAGGGGCGTACAATCTAAGGTCCCTAACCCTCAAGGGGCGTACAATCTAAGGTCCCTAACCCTCAAGGGGCGTACAATCTAAGGTCCCCAACCCTCAAGGGGTGTACAATCTAAGGTCCCTAACCCTCAAGGGGCGTACAATCTAAGGTCCCTAACTCACATTCATACATACACATACTAAGGCCAATTTAGGCAGGAGCCAATTAGCCTACCAGCATGTATTTGGAGTGTGGGAGGAAACTGGAGTACCTGGAGGAAACCTACGCAGTCACAGGGAGAACATGCAAACTCCAGGCAGGTGGTGTCGTGGTTGGGATTCAAACCAGCAACCCTAGTACTGCCAGGTGGAAGTGCTAACCATTTAGCCACTGTGCTGCCCATATATATATTTCAAAAGAGAGAATGACACTCATGGTTCTTGAGAGGTGAACAAACAGCGAGGGCTGGTTCACACCATAGAAACGCAGTCCAGATGTTCTTCTCGAAGTGATTTTTTTCCCACTTTTTTTTTTCTTCACCTTAAATAAGGACATGTGTATTCCGATGCATTTTTGATTCCTTTTTTCACGACACTCCAGTACAGTTCAGTGCAGAAAAAAAAAATGTAGCATGTTCTACTTTTTTTTTTCTGGAATTGACCGCACCGGTGTGATCTGTGCCATTGGAAACCATCTGCACTGAACTGTACTGGAACGTGGTAGAACACATCAAAAACGCACTAATATATATATATAAAAATAATCACACACACTATATATGTGTGTGTTTATATATATACACACACACACACAACAGACGTACACACACATACTGTGTGTATACAGTGGGGATCGAAAGTTTGGGCACCCCAGCTAAAAATTTGTATTAATGTGCATAAAGAAGCCAAGGAAAGATGGAAAAATCTCCAAAAGGTATCAAATTACAGATTAGACATTCTTATAATATGTCAACAAAAGTTAGATTTTATTTCCATCATTTACACTTTCAAAATAACAGAAAACAAAAAAATGGCGTCTGCAAAAGTTTGGGCACCCTGCAGAATTTATAGCATGCACTGCCCCCTGTGCCAAGTTGAGACCTGCCAGTGTCATGGATTGTTCTCAATCATCGTCTGGGAAGACCAGGTGATGTCAATCTCAAAGGTTTTAAATGCCCAGACTCATCTGACCTTGCCCCAACAATCAGCACCATGGGTTCTTCTAAGCAGTTGTCTAGAAAACTGAAACTGAAAATAGTTGACGCTCACAAAGCTGGAGAAGGCTATAAGAAGATAGCAAAGCGTTTTCAGATGTCAATATCCTCTGTTCGGAATGTAATTAAGAAATGGCAGTCATCAGAAACAGTGGAAGTTAAAGCAAGATCTGGAAGACCAAGAAAAATATCAGACAGAACAGCTGGCAGGATTGTGAGAAAAACAATTCAAAACCCACGTTTGACTGCACGATCCCTCCAGAAAGATCTGGCAGACACTGGAGTTGTGGTACACTATTCCACTATAAAGAGATACTTGTACAAATATGGTCTTCATGGAAGAGTCATCAGAAGAAAACCTCTTCTACGTCCTCACCACAAAAATCATCGTTTGAACTTTGCAAATGAACATATAGACAAGCCTGATGCATTTTGGAAACAAGTTCTGTGGACCGATGAGGCTAAAATTGAAATTTTTGGCCGGAATGAGCAAAGGTACGTTTGGAGAAGAAGGGGCACAGAATTTCATGAAAAGAACCTCTGTCCAACTGTTAAGCATGGGGTTGGATCAATCATGCTTTGGGGTTGTGTTGCAGCCAGTGGCACAGGGAACATCTCACGAGTAGAAGGAAAAATGGATTCAATAAAATTTCAGCAAATTTTGGATGGTAACTTGATGCTATCTGTGAAAAAGCTGAAGTTAAAGAGAGGATGGCTTCTACAAATGGATAATGATCCTAAACACACCTCGAAATCCACGGGGGATTACATCAAGAGGCGTAAACTGAAGGTTTTGCCATGGCCTTCACAATCTCCTGACCTCAACATAATTGAAAATCTATGGATAGACCTTAAAAGAGCCGTGCGTGACAGACAGCCCAGAAATCTCAAAGAACTGGAAGACTTTTGTAAGGAAGAATGGGCAAAGATACCTCAAATAAGAATTGAAAGACTCTTGGCTGGCTACAAAAAGCGTTTACAAGCTGTGATACTTGCCAAAGGGGGCAGTACAAGATATTAACTCTGCAGGGTGCCCAAACTTTTGCAGATGCCATTTTTTTGTTTTCTGTTATTTTGAAAGTGTAAATGATGGAAATAAAATCTAACTTTTGTTGACATATTATAAGAATGTCTAATCTGTAATTTGATGCCTTTTGGAGATTTTTCCATCTTTCCTTGGCTTCTTTATGCACATTAATACAAATTTTTAGCTGGGGTGCCCAAACTTTCGATCCCCACTGTGTATATTCAGTATTTGCTATGAGTTCTCATTTAAAGGGTTAGCTGCCCTTTTTTTTTCCCCCCCCCAAAGTGTGAAAACTTTTCACCTTCCTCACACTTATTTCCATGGAGGATTCCATCTCATCGCTTACACAGCACGGTGCAGTGGTCATGGGATATGAAAACACAGACATCGTCACATGTTCCTCCATACCTAGACGTGCTGTGCATTTTATTTCACCCACTGCAGCAGAGCAGAGCGGCGCGGGAGGAAACGGTCACTTAAAGAGTTGACAGCATTACAAAGCTGTAGAAAAAGAAGTCATTTCCTTCAGGAAGTCGATTGGCAATAAATACGCAATATACATTTTCTATAACCTATAACAGGGAAATTGAAAGATGACAATGTAATAGTTTGCATAAGTTCTTCCTGTTACAATCGAGTAAAACAGGTCGCTATATATAATAGATAGGAAGAAAGTTTCCAGTGGAAAAAGATTCAAATTGCTGAGTAAAGCAAGCAACAAATGCATGCATGCACTCTGCACACCGCGGGAAAGAACACTTGGAAGCGATTCAAAAGCTGCGATCGCTCCAATTATGACACGGATGAGTCACCTTTTAGTCATCTTATCCACTGATTTATTGCCCTTACTATAGGGATAGAAACAGAAAAAAAAAACAAAAACGCATTGCGATAAGGCCCTCCAGGAATCCCATGACTTACCTGTGTTCATACTGGCCCCGCTGACTCACCCAGAAAAGGTGTGTGGTCCTGAAACTAGCATGGGGTGCCTTTCACCACAGTGGAATCACATAGGCGCTTTACTTACCTACAGCAGTTTCAGGCAGACAACCCGAAAGGTGAACAAAAAACACTTTGTAGGTTCAGCAGGCTTTGCCTGAAGGTTTTTTTCAAAGGAATGAAAAATGTTGGGAGAGGAGCGACAAATGGAGGAGATGTTGTTTATTCGATCATTCCTTTATAATACACATTAATCATGTATGTGAAACAGAACCAAGCGTTGTGTAAACGGAAAATGAAATTATGGGCAAAATTTAGCCGAAAAAAGTCATATTAAGCGACAGTCTGCAGCAGTTTGTTTTTACTATATTCTGTATGTATGCAATGGGGGGAGATTTACTAAAACTGGAGCACTCAGAATCTGATGCATTTGTGTATGGCAGCCAATCAGCTTCTAACTTCAGCTTGTTCAATTAACCTCTTCACGCCGGCTGCACACAAACGTGCGGCCTCCTGGTGTTTGGGCCTAGACGCCAAGCGGACGCACATTTGTGTGCAATTAAGAAAAACATGTGCTGAGAGCG